TACATGGTTTATTTCTCGATTCTCAATTCGATTGCATTGGCTCATATGTGTATTCTTATGCCAGTACCACACTGACTTGATTATTGTAGCTTTGCAGAAGTTTTGAAATTGGGAAATTAACTCTTCTGACTGTTCTTTTTTTTTTTTCAAGATTGTTTTTGCTATTTGGAGCCCTTAGCATTTCCATACAAATGTTATGATTAGCTTGCCAATTTCTGAAAAAATGCTAAAGAGGATTGTGTTAAATGTATAGATGAGCCTGTGAATTGTTGCCATTTTAACAATATTGTGTTTCTCAATTCATGAACATATCACATCTCTCCATGTATTTAGGTCATCTTTAATATTTTTGGCAATGCTTTTCAGATTTCAGTGTACAAGCCTTCACTTTTGTTAAATTTTTTTGCTAGTATTATGTCTAGGGTTTTTTGGTGTNTATCACATCTCTCCATGTATTTAGGTCATCTTTAATATTTTTGGCAATGCTTTTCAGATTTCAGTGTACAAGCCTTCACTTTTGTTAATTTTTTTTGCTAGTATTACGTCTAGGGTTTGTTTTGTGNTCAGATTTCAGTGTACAAGCCTTCACTTTTGTTAAATTTTTTTGCTAGTATTATGTCTAGGGTTTTTTGGTGTTTTTTTTTGGTGCATGAATTTCTTAGATTTTTCTATATACAAGATCATGTCATTTGCAAATCATGACAGGTTTACTTTTTCCATTCTAATCTGGATGACTTTTATTTTTTCCCCTAGTCTAATTTCCCTGGCTAGAATCTCCAATGCAATGTTAAATAGAAGTAGTGACAGTGGATACATCTTTGTCTTGTTCCTTTTTATTCTTTTAAAAACACAGTTACTTCCTTGCCCAAGTGGCTCAATTGGTTAGTGTCATCCTGATATGCCAAGGTTGCAGGTTAAATCCTGGGTCAGGGTGCATACAAGAATTAACCAATGAATGCAGAAATAAGTGGAACAAGAAACCGATGTTTCTCTCTCTCTCCNCACAGTTACTTCCTTGCCCAGGTGGCTCAATTGGTTAGTGTCGTCCTGATATGCCAAGTTTGCAGGTTCAATCCTGGGTCAGGGTGCATACAAGAATTAACCGATGAATGCAGAAATAAGTGGAACAAGAAACCGATGTTTCTCTCTCTCTCCCTCCCTCAGTGGCTCAGTGGTTAAGTATCAATTTATGATCCAGGAGACCTCAGTTTGATTCTTGGTCAGGGCACATGCCCGGATGGCAGGCTCCATCCCCAGCTGGGGGCACNCCCTCAGTGGCTCAGTGGTTAAGTATCAATTTATGATCCAGGAGACCTCAATTTGATTCTTGGTCAGGGCACATGCCTGGATGGCAGGCTCCATCCCCAGCTGGGGGCACGCAGGAGGCAGCTGATCCATGACTCTCTCATCATTGGTGTTTCTCTCTCTTTCTCTCCCTCTCCCTTCCTCTCTCTGAAATCAATAAAGACCTTAAAAAATATATATACTGACACTAATACTCCATCTGGTGGAGAGAGCTCCCCCTAGTGTCCTAAGGAGCGTGTCCATCATGCAGGCTCTTCAGTCATGCCACACTCTGCTGACTGCATACCTACTTCTCTACAGTGATNAAAATATATATATACTGACACTAATACTCCATCTGGTGGAGAGAGCTCCCCCTAGTGTCCTAAGGAGCGTGTCCATCATGCAGGCTCTTCAGTCATGCCACACTCTGCTGACTGCATACTTACTTCTCTACAGTGATTTTTTTTAAAAAACTGGTACAGAGAATAATAATCTTTGTTTCATGACTTTTCATAATGAAATCTTTCCCTCTGTTTGTTTTCTACCTATCCCACCTTAATTTCTTAATTCTAAACTGATGATTGATTATACCAGAGTATTGGTCCTATGTTCTCTTCTCTTGGTTTCAAATTTTCTCTAAATTTTAAACCACTTCCTCATCTCAACAGCTTTTACTAGAACAAGGGCCTCATACCTGCAAACCTCGATCCTCTTGGATCTCCTGTAAGAACTTGTTTACTTATATCTTACATCTTTAATCTTTGTTTTATTTCTATAGTGATTTTTTTCTCTATAGACTACACACATCTGAAAAGCAGTAAGCCAGTCTAATCAAGGCACCATCTAGAAATACAGATTTGAAGAGTCAGAATTCAAGGAAAAGACCACAGGATGGACACAGCAGTGAGACTGGAACAGAAGGAAGGAGACCACAGCAGTGAGATTGGAACAGAAGGAAGGAGAAAGTATTGCTCATCTGAAGATCATCTTTCAGGGTACTTGGGACTCCAGCCACAGGGAGGAAGCTCTAAAGGTTGGTACAGCCACTCAAGTAGGAACAGATGAGACTAAAATTACTGCAAGAAAAATGAGAGTTTAATGATATATATGTGTCAAAAGGGAAGAACAAAAAAATCCCCAAATTTTCCTTACAGGTCAGTGGTGCTGATTTCAGAAATTGAGTCTAGAGGGGAAACAGATTTTGGGGAATGAGGCATAGCTGAGATCACTTTACTGCTTTGAGTCTGACCTGCCACAATTGTCCAGGTGATGGTGGTCTGTAGTCAGATCAGAATAGAGCTGAGAGGCAACGCTGTGAGATACCGAGAAAAGGGGAGCACAGAACTCAGCAACTGATTTAAAACTACTTGGGTTCAGACACAGAACAGGGCCTCACAATGCCATTGGTAAGCTTTCATTTAATTCTTACTTTTTATTTATTTTAACAAAATACACTTTCTTGTTTCTATTCAGAACCAGAGTTGAGTGCACCTGGACAACTGTATGGAAGAAACAAATGCCGAATATTATTTGTCTCCATTTTTGTACAACTATATTTTCTTCAAAATATGAAGGTGTCATTTCAGTAAATTCTCACCTGATATTTGTATGTAAGCTTTTTAGAGGATTGTTGGNATATATATACTGACACTAATACTCCATCTGGTGGAGAGAGCTCCCCCTAGTGTCCTAAGGAGCGTGTCCATCATGCAGGCTCTTCAGTCATGCCACACTCTGCTGACTGCATACTTACTTCTCTACAGTGATTTTTTTTAAAAAACTGGTACAGAGAATAATAATCTTTGTTTCATGACTTTTCATAATGAAATCTTTCCCTCTGTTTGTTTTCTACCTATCCCACCTTAATTTCTTAATTCTAAACTGATGATTGATTGATTATACCAGAGTATTGGTCCTATGTTCTCTTCTCTTGGTTTCAAATTTTCTCTAAATTTTAAACCACTTCCTCATCTCAACAGCTTTTACTAGAACAAGGGCCTCATACCTGCAAACCTCGATCCTCTTGGATCTCCTGTAAGAACTTGTTTACTTATATCTTACATCTTTAATCTTTGTTTTATTTCTATAGTGATTTTTTTCTCTATAGACTACACACATCTGAAAAGCAGTAAGCCAGTCTAATCAAGGCACCATCTAGAAATACAGATTTGAAGAGTCAGAATTCAAGGAAAAGACCACAGGATGGACACAGCAGTGAGACTGGAACAGAAGGAAGGAGACCACAGCAGTGAGATTGGAACAGAAGGAAGGAGAAAGTATTGCTCATCTGAAGATCATCTTTCAGGGTACTTGGGACTCCAGCCACAGGGAGGAAGCTCTGAAGGTTGGTACAGCCACTCAAGTAGGAACAGATGAGACTAAAATTACTGCAAGAAAAATGAGAGTTTAATGATATATATGTGTCAAAAGGGAAGAACAAAAAAATCCCAAAATTTTCCTTACAGGTCAGTGGTGCTGATTTCAGAAATTGAGTCTAGAGGGGAAACAGATTTTGGGGAATGAGGCATAGCTGAGATCACTTTTCTGCTTTGAGTCTGACCTGCCACAATTGTCCAGGTGATGGTGGTCTGTAGTCAGATCAGAATAGAACTGGGAGGCAATGCTGTGAGATACCGAGACAAGGGGGGCACAGAGCTCAGCAACTGATTTAAAACTGCTTTGGTTCAGACACAGAACAGGGCCTCACAATGCCATTGGTAAGCTTTCATTTAATTCTTACTTTTTATTTATTTTAACAAAATACACTTTCTTGTTTCTATTCAGAACCAGAGTTGAGTGCACCTGGACAATTGTATGGAAGAAACAAATGCTGAATATTATTTGTCTCCATTTTTGTACAACTATATTTTCTTCAAAATATGAAGGTGTCATTTCAGTAAATTCTCACCTGATATTTGTATGTAAGCTTTTTGGAGGATTGTTGGTTACCTGGATTTAGATGGAACATAAGTGGCAGAGAAGGTGATTTTACAGATTTGCATTATTTCTGAATAACACATGTGGACCAAAGCCACTGAAAAAATGTAGATAACCAATGCCCACGGGGTATCCTGGCACCTCCATGCCTGCTCTGTAATTTACTCAGACTCCGTCCTGGGAGAACAGGGCCTGGTGGGGTCCTCACACCTACAGTGGGTAAACCACCTGCACAAGGACCTCAGACACTTCCATTTAGTGTCCATGTTTCTAAACAAGGCCATCTGCATCGGATTTTCTGGTCACCCCAACACATGGCATTATATCACACTTTGCCTTGATGACGTGGGGCAGGGAGGGAGGGAAGAGGGATCCCTTCTGAACATCCCTGTGTGAACATCCTCAGATGCTGCTCACATATTGGAATCTTTCAGGACTGACATCCAGTACCCTGAAGGTCTTCCTGTCTCTCAAATGTTGAAACATTCCTTTAACTCTGGGAAGGATCCTGTTCTCATCACTCTGCAGCCTTAACAGCTTTTGATAGAGGGGAAGAGGGGATGAACTGAATGACCACCAGGCCTAGGGCATGAGGATGGGCGGTGGCTTAGGAAGCTGTCTCCCTGCTCACTATCTGCGGAAGAGATGCTGCCTCCCACCTCCTCACCTGGACGGCTCAGGCATTCACACAGTTCTGCACGGGTCCGAGCTCCCTGGGCCCGCTGGATGAACACTCTGAGGCCAGTCACTTCATGTGACTCCAATCACCTGCACAGGTTACCTTGATGGAGTTTTCAAGAACTGTAACAGGAAATGTACTATTAGGCATGGAACTTAAAAAAAGTCAAAAACTGTCCTTGATCGCAATATCTATTTAAAACGAAGACAAAACAATAAAAACGGAAATGCTTAACTCCTATTAATACTTTTCTATAAGCAGTTATTATTATAGGGTAGCAAACAATGCTGTAAGCTCTGTTTAAAGACTAGTTTATCTTTTTAAAGTGTGTTGTAAAATGTTCTCAGGGAATCTTTACAGAAATCTTCATACAGGAGGGTCTGGCAGTCTAGACATTGGCACATTTGAGTAAAGATATGAGAGATGTTAATTTTCAATACCTGGAGGAGAAGTTAAGGGCCTTCCCTCTGAAATGGAGAAAATTTTCATTTGAAAAAGAGGACAGTGACTGCCAGTGCAGTTATGCTCATGAAGTTTTTTTCTTAAACATTCGATTTAAGGCAAATTGCATGAAAGTGGTGAGGAAGCCTATGGAGAAGAAAGGGACTTCCCCCTTCTGCAGAGAAGGTGCAGAGGGAACCAAGGGAGCAGGGAAATGGAGAGACCTCAAGTGCAGTATCAGGAGGTTAAGTCAATATACTTTCAGAGCTAAGAAATGAGAATATAAGAAAGACTGTGTTTCATTCTAGGTTAAAAATGCCAGAGCAATGTTGGGAAAGTCATCATTCACATCACAGGAAGATGAGAGAATCATCCAAAGACGACTTTCTTGGCACTGATTTTTAAGTACATTCATATTGTTTCTCCAACATGCCAGGCTGGCTCCGTCCCTGGGCGTCTGCACTACCTGTTCCTTCTGCCTGGAATGTTTTTCCTTTGACTCCCTCACTTTCTTCAAGTCTTGATCAAATGTCACCTTCTCAAAGAGGTCTTCCTGGACCACACCATTTAAAATTGCTATCCACCCTTCCTCTCTGCCCACATTCTATCCTGACCTTTCTGGTTTTCCTTATTCCCCTTTTAATGTTTTCCAAAGCACTGACCATATTCTGTTTCACCATATAAATTACTTATGTGGTTTCTTTATTTTCTGTCTCTCCTGGCTAGAACATAAGCTTGAGGAGGGCAGCTATCTGTGGTAGTTTTGTTCACCGACATACCCTAAGCATTCAGAACAGTGCATGGCACATAGTAGGTTCTCAAATTTTATTGACTGAATGACTGCAGATCAAGGTTGAATTTATGCTTCTTTGAGCTAAGTTAATGAGCTACTTTACAGAGCCAAAGTTAAAAGTTATTTCTAGTACAACTCTAGAGCAACACTAAAATTACTCACAGGTAGCAACTATTGGGCATAGAAGTCACACATCAACCGAAGTTTTAGGGATAAAAATTTCACTAACAAAAAACCTGAAGAATAAAAAAAGCCAGGTTTAGGGAAGTGTTTTGCATTTCCCCCCACACATTTTCTCTTATAACTGCTAAAGCATCAAGAGTCTTAGTTTTCACAGACATCATAGAAGTTTAGAGCTGGAATGGAATCTCAGAAATCATCTTAGCATGAGACTTCTAGCAACAATATGATGCAATCATTTTATAGCTGGGGAAACTGAGTACCAGAGTGGGAATGTAATATGCACAGTCAGGAAGTGGTGGGGGTAGAACTTTACTTGGGTCTTAAAATTTCAAGTCCAGAGTTTTTGTTTCTTTTTTTTGTTCACTTTTTCTTTTCAGCTAATTACCTGAATGTATTTTATTTTATACCGGTTCAAGTTAAACATCAGAACTCAAATGGTTAATAAATGACTGTAAAAGGGCCAGGGGAGGATTTTCCTATCTACTTAAGCGTTAGTGAGATGCAATTACTTAGAACCTACTAAGGACTTCTGGCTTCCACAGCCGGCCAGCTTCCTTGAAGAACTGGCACATGATTCTGTATGGATCATGGCAAGCTGAACATGTCTTTTTATTCTGAAGGCTCATGTAGGACCACTGCAGCAAACTGCCTTTTAGATGCCTTCCCCAGCATTTTTTCTTAATTATAATCCTAATCGTTGGGATTCCTAAATCATAAGGTAGACATTCTTGTCATTTTTCGTTAATCATTTAAATGGAAATAAGCCACAGTGCTATCTGGGACAAGGCCACCTCTTATATGCACTGCAAGAGTGGAAAGAGTGGAGATTTTGGACAGTAGATGGAAATGACTCTTCAGCCTTGTTAGAAGCAGCCTGCAGGAGACAGGGAAGGGGAACCAGGAAACCAGGGGCCTTTAGGGGAAGGCTGCAAAGCCCTGGCTATGGCTGGTAACCATTGCAGGCTGGCCATTCTAAGGGAGCAGCTCTCCCCCTTAATGGGCACCATGAAGTAAAGTCCCTTATAAGACCAGCTGCATAGCTCTCACCTTTCCAGGAAGCTTTCTGTGGTTGAGACACAAAGGAAGACCCCAGAGGAGGACTCCAGATACTATAGGTTGGTGATTCTCTCCCATGGCTTCCTGGCAGGGTGGAGAAGCAGGGCCCACCCTATTTATGACCAATAATATATTCTTAAGGTTTCAATTATTTTTATACTAACACTTTAAAATGAGTAGATTGTAACTACTTCTTTTCTCTTTGCAGCCCATTATACATTCTTGAGTGGGAAAGAAGGTGGTAATACTGTAGCTAGGATAAAAAGTGGTAAAACACTGCTCTAAGGAAACTGATGATAATCTCAACTCTGTTTCCTAACTTCTCTCCTTCTATAGTGAAAGATTTAATTTCCTGCTTTGTTTAAATTCATTTTTCTATTTCTTTTTATCATGCCTATATGTAATCTTTTTTGAATTGGAATGGCTTCCCACAGACAGCAACCTGAAACAGAAATTGTCCAGTAAGTGATACCCTTACCTAGGTCTGAAGACCTTTTTTCTCATCTGGGTTGTGTAATTTAACTAATGGCTCTCAAATTTCTCCTCTTTAATATGGGGAAACAATAAAGAATTATTATAAGGAATCAATTCAACAAGAAAGGCTACATAAAATGGTATTATGCAAATGATATGTGTTCAACATACTTGGATCTGTGAAGGTTATAATTAGCTCTTCCATTGCCAACATCCAAAAAACAGCAAGATGGCAGTTTTGCAAAAATGCCCAGTTTCCTGATTTCATAGCATCTTTGATCATTCATTCAGCAATGGGTCCTTTTCCTTGCCCCAGTGAAATTGATTGCACCCTGAGTTGAACAATAACAACAATGCTGTTTTGTAAGTAATGAAATTATTAAGATATTTAAATATAGTAGACTCTTGCTTAGAATAAGCACATGTTTAAAATCCTCATTCTGGCCTAGCTGGTTTGTTTCAGTGGCCTTGGCCCTCGGGTTGGAGGGCCTCAGGTTTGATTCGGTCAAGGGAACTTTGCTGCATTGCAGGCTCAATCCAAGAGGCAGCCAATTGATGTTTCTCTCTCTCCCCCTTCCACTCTCTCTGAAAAGAATGGAAAAAATATCAGTGAGCGAGATTAAAAAAAAAATTATAAAATGCTCATTCTGATAGATGTACAAATGTTTTGTTCTTATTTCCTTGTCTGTGTGTGTTTTTTTAAAACCACTTTTACTGTAACACATATAAAAATGTGCAAAGAACAAATATACAGCTCTATGAATTATTGCAAATGAACATCTGTGGTTGAGAAGAAAACTTTGCCAACATCTCAGAGACATCTCTCCTATACCCCTTTCCATTCCAATCATTTTCCCTTCCTTTTTCCCAAAGGCATGCACTATCCTGACTTCCAACCTTATAGGTCAGTTTTTAAAAGATTAAAAAAAAAAGTTGAAGTCTACCACATATTTAGGAAAAGTACACAAATCATTAATGCATGACTTACTGAATTCTCCCAAGGTGAATACACACATGTACCACCACTGAGGACAAAATAAAGAACATCATCATCATCCTCCCAGTCAGGATCCATCTTCCTTCTCAAAGGCAATTTTGAATTCTAACACCATAGGTCAGTCTTGCCTGTTTTTGAATTTTATATAAGTGGAATTATATAGTTTATTTATTTTTATTTGGTCTATTTCAATCAACATTATTTTTTTAGGTTAACTCACATTATTGTGTGTCACTGTGTTCATTCATTTTTATTGCTATGAACTGTGGTTAGACCACAATTTATTTATCTATTCTGCTCTCGATGGCCATTTGGATTGTTTATGGTCCTTGGCTATTATATGCAATGCTTCAAGAAACATTCTTGTACATGTCTTTGGGTACACATGTGCACTCCATTTTGTTGTGTATATTCCTAGGAGTGGAACTGCTGGTTGGACAGAGTTTGTTTATGTTTAAATTTTTTATAATATCAAACTTTTCCAAAGGGATGTCACCAGTCCACATTTCTCCCAGCAGCAGATGAGAGTACTTGTCTCACCATTTCTTTGCTAACACCTGATAAATGTGTAGTGGTATCTCATTGAGGTTTTAATTGTTTCCTCTTTTCATAGGTTTACTTATTGCCCTCTTGGCTAACTCCTTTTTGTATCTCCCCTTGATCTCTTCCTTTTTTTCTATTGAATCACCTGTCTTTTTAAAAAANAATTGTTTCCTCTTTTCATAGGTTTACTTATTGCCCTCTTGGCTAACTCCCTTTTGTATCTCCCCTTGATCTCTTCTTCCTTTTTTTCTATTGAATCACCTGTCTTTTTAAAAATTTTTATTTTATTTCTCAGAGTTCTTTATATTGGATATAAACCCTCTGTTCTCTTTTTACTGTCTCCATAGTTTTGCCTTTTCCCAGAATAACATATAGTTGGAATCATACAGTATGGAGCCTTTTCAGATT